TCTATCGCATATCATTATATTGATAAACCCTTAATTGCAACATATCTAAGTACATGATTATGGCTACCTCTATTTATTATCCACAAAAACTTCCACACTCTTATGCATCTCCCAAATATGTATTGTTGCTTTAATTTATCACACACCATATCATAATCTGACATAGGGCTTCATTTTTGTAGGGCATTTGCCAGAAAGAGACCAACCCCAACACATATAATACTCGTTCGTTCTCGTTCTGGTTTTTTGCCTTCGGAGCTGTCGACTCGCCTTGACCGTATTTTCTCATTGCCAAGTGAAGGACGCACCTTGAAACTCAAGGATTTTCGGCATTTTGCGAAATTTTGCAAACTTTTTCGGCAATATGTGGGTCATGTGCGAATTTTTGCACAACGCTCGGAGCGTTATGGTAGCTAGTCATTATGGAAGGGGAAGTGGGGGTTGAGTGTCGACTGTCGATGACATAAGCAGTTCATATTATTTTCGAGTGGCATTGAGATGAGCGCCATCGAAACTAGTTCCTCTGTGTTTGTGAGTGTATGTGATATCCACTCGATGCGTGGCGTTGAACTCTCGCCGGCGGCTGGTCTGGTGGTGTTTTTGGGGGCCAGAGCGCATTTTGGGTGCCACAGCTACCAGCTAAACATTTTTGGGCGCCTCATAGCACAGGTTGTGATTTGAGCTTTTTTGGAAGCTAAGGTTAAGGTTATTCGCTAATTGCCACACAGCAGCAGACGCAACATCAAGGGTACTGTAATAAACACAGTCAAATTCAACTCGGGTGGATCAGAATCGGATCGGGTGTGGTTGATGGTTGTTGGTTGCCGGCGGCGGTGGTGGTCGTTTGGGGCTCGCTTCGATTCGATGGTTGATTGGTACATTAGCCGGTCGCAACGTGTCAACGCCTTGCATGTCCGTCCCGTTTCTTAATAGTGCGGTCAGTCAGGCCCCAAAATCCAGTTTCGGGAACAGGCGCTCACAATGCGGCAACAAGTGGACGCCGCTACGGCATTGGCGTCATCATCAACAGCGGCGCAAATCAAAAACGCGCACTGCCCTCGGCGGCCCCCACCGCTCCACCGAGAGTGGGGATTTTGTATTTGGTCAGGGCGTGGTCTGGCATCGACTGGCCGGCTAGCTGGCCAGTGGATGGGGATCCAAAGGGACTGTTTGCGGAGATGGGGCTGGCTCTGTGGGTATAGGGCGTTGGCTTCACTTGGCACTCGGCCAAAACGGCAGGGAATGAAGTAATACAGTGCGTCGACACGTTCAGGGTTACTTGGTCCTAGTGTTCCATTTTTGTATGCGCCGTTCAAGGCTATCTCTTTTCAAACCTATTTCATTTATAATGTTCTATGGAAAATCTCTCTTTTGGTTTTTTATTTTAATTAACCTTTTACAGAACATTTTCCAGATACATTTTATAGCAGTACGGCTATCCGATTATTCATAAAATAAAATTTCCCCAATGAGAATATGTGCGAACATTCTGATTGGCCTCTTTAGTTACGCTTCCCCTTTTACAATACATTTCCTGACACAGATTGATACATTTTCACACCCGTCTCCATTCTCGTACCTGTGAATAGTATTTCCGCTCAATTTGCGCCTGTTAAGCACTCCATTTTTGTGCAGTAGGGTTGCTCACCATAAAAAAAGCCAGGGCAAACATCAAAAACTGACCACACGCTGACCATGCCAGAACTCTCGCAGGCGGTACTTGGAGCCGTGCCAACAAACTGGTTTGCCCCCCTTTTTGGTCGCTTCTTCTTCCCCATACCGGTGCTACACACGAGCAAGCAATAGTTGGCTCACTGTATTTTTATATAATTTTTTTTGTATCTTTTGGGGCCGCACGCTTCTCTCGTTTGGTGCCGCCACGCTGTTTCGTTTCTGCTGCTTGCCTGTTATGATGCATGTGAGAAAACGTTGAACGCCCACAATAATAGATGCTTTTTTCCTTTAATTTCTTTGGCTTTGCTGTTAGTTGTCATTGTGGTTAGGCAATAGTTTTGTGGGCCGCAACGAGCGCCGGTTGCTGCGGCCCCAGCAGAAATTTGTGCAATAAGCAAAATGACGGGCACAAAACAAAATGTCCGGCCGGAGTAGAGGTGCCCGCAACTTCCGCCGATGGCGCTCTTGATGATCATCATGCATCATGGTCGTCATCATGCCGTGTCTAGTCAGGGGTAGGGCAGAGGCAGGCCAACACGCCGCTCCAACGCCATATTATCGTAAGTAGCTGTTATGTGGCTCATACTGGCACAGTCGAATGGATGGCATGGCCCGTAGACGTAGACCAAACCCTGACGTTGGGGCAATTTTCTGTTGGCCTGTGATGTGAGCAAACAAAATGACTGCTCAAAATTGAGCAAAATGTTCGAGCGATTGCAGTGAGTGTGGTAGGTGGGTAGAGTGTGGGGAGGGACGTTCGTTTTCCATGTGTTTGCATTAGAAATTTTTGTTCAAACAAACAATGTTTTCTGTTGCAAAGTATAAAAGCGAGAGAGTGGGAGTGAGAGTGAGAGAGAGCACGACTTTGTGGGCGTGTAGCATTGAGTTTTTGCCTTTGGCCCCCAGAGCTTATATTCGCCAATCTGATGTGACACCTGTCGGGCAAACCCTGAACTAGCCGTATATTTGGATTCAATTGCCCTTTTTATTCCCCATTTGAGTTGTGTGGAGGGGGAATGCCTTGCCCCCGTGGGGACTGTGCTCAAAATTACCCTCCCTCCATTTAATAGAGACGGAGCTAAATAGAGTGAGAAGACAAGAGTTTGTTCGGTTCAATTTACAGATTTCATTCTAATAACCGTTAGTTTGTGGCTTTAAACTGCTGCAATTTGTCAGGTTTTTGTATGTGAGAATTTCTTTGCCAGCCCACGAACACATACACCACTGGGTATCTCCCCATACAGCGCATACACACACACACACCAACGACCAGTCGTCACATGGCAATCCGTTAAAAACCCCTGCCACTGTGTCACTACTGGCATCCCGCTCTGGCACATGGCATGAGCGCACCATCAGTGCTGTGTGCATTTGCGCTCTTCATCGACGCTTGAATTTGCTTCGATTGCTGCCTGCTGAACTTTCTGGGCGCCTGGTGAAAAAGAGGGAATTCACTTTTGGCGGGGTCTTGTTTTTCCTGGTTTGTCCAATCGGCCTTTTGTGGGCGCTGCTGTCTGAAATTGCCGCTCCGCCCGTCCAACAAAACACACACACGTTGTCGCACCCTCGCCCTCCGCCAGTCCCAGTCCAGGCACTGATGCCATATTCTTGATAAGCTGATAACAAGGCGTCGACGGGCGTCGGTTTGCCTCCCCTGGTGTGTCCGTCTGACTGGCTGGATTCTCTCTCTTGAAAATATACCATAACGTTCTGTGTGACTGTCTGCTGCTGCTGCTGTCTCTTTTTCATTTTTAGGGGAGTAGTTAGTAATTTGCGTTAAGTGTGCAGCCCAGCAAATTAATTTGCACGGTAGGCGTGGTTGTAGGCCTCCGCCCACATACCCGTACATAGCAAAAAGGCCGACACGGACACGTGCCGTCGATACCGAATCGGAACAAAAGTTCTCCAATTCCCACCGGCTTTTTAAAACGCCTGGGCATGAGATTCGACAACGGCGACAAAGCGCCACAGAAACGAAACGAATCGCTGCTCCAAAGCTGGGGAAAGAAATTACCTCACCACACGCGCGCCAGCATGTGCGGACGTGTCCGCGCCCCGTGGTGGTGGCGGACTTTTTCAGACACGTTCGGTTTTCGGTTCGGTTTCCACCAGGCGAACAGAAATAACAGCAGGTGAAAACCTGGCCATACAAACCCGCTGGCATCGGCAGAAACATCACTCGGAACGTGTACTATGGGGCCAGGCGGAAAGATATGTTGGTAAAATGTCTTGCAGCTAAAGCGGAGCTCATCCTTTATCAAAGAGAGTGTAAGTGTAGAAATCTAACAACTATGGGAATATTTAATCAAACTTAATATTTTTACACTCAATTGTTCGTGTGCCTAAGTATGTGGCTGTGGTAGCTTTTGTTTCTATATCTAAATGTTTTTGAGCGTGGGTGCACTTGTACGTCGCTCCCCGGTGGGACAACGCATGTGCACCTGGGATTCGATTTTCCTCTGAATGATTTTGAACAGTAGTCGCATGGATAGGGTCGTTCACCAGTGTGAGTACGGGTGTGTAATACATATTTAGATTTATCACTGAAAATTGTATGCAGTAAGAACACCTATGCTGTCGTTCCTCGCTGGGAGTGCAGGTGTGTTCCTGGAGCTGGTTTTTATCTTGATATGACTGAGAGCAGTGAGCACACTTGTATGGTCGCTCTTCCGTATGACTTCGGTTATTTTGCTTGAGTTCGAATTGGTATTTAAATGACTTCGAGCAGTGGGAGCATGGGAATGGGAGATCTCCAGTGTGTGTATGGATGTGCGCTTGAAGATTAGCAAAGACAGTGGAACTGTGAGAACAGTGGAAGGGACGATCGATTGTGGGTGTACGACAGAATTGAAATCGGTTTGAAATTGGTTACACCCAATCATCGTCATCTTCATCTCTGTCTCTGTTATAGAGTTTCTTGAGTTTGAATGCACCCACTGCATCCTCAAGGCAGGGTGGACATATATTTTCTGAGAGTAAATCTACTCGCCTAACCACGTATCCTGTCAACTCTGACATCATGCTAGCAATGCAGGTGTCCCATTTTAGTTTCCCATCAAAAATGTTTGTGAATGCTCCAGTCGTTTCCATGCAATCTCTGCATGTTTCCTTCATTGACCTGCAAGTTTATGAACATTTAATTAACAATATAAAACCAACTTGTTATTGTTATTGTTTGGGCACGAACTGTTTTGTTTTGGCAACAAACATAAGAAACACAGCTGTTAGACGCGAAGACAACTGTTATATCACAGAAAGGGTGCTGTTAGGAGCGAGAGATATTGGTACTTAAATATTTATGTTTTATTGAACTCAATTATTTAGTTGAAATGTTTTTAATAAATTAGCAGTAGCAGATTCCAGTGGAGCAAGGCAGATTTTCGGATAGAGATCCTGGTTACGTTCACAGTAAACATATCAGCAGCAGTTAAATGCAAACCGTTTTTCTGTATAGCTATTTAAAGGTCTTATAAAGTCATCAAATAAATAATGTTTATTGTTGTCCGACCTTTTTTATGTTACACATTTCTTTGGGAAGGGGCTCCACCAGCAATTTCGAATGTAATCTGGAAGACTGCCGGATCGCTTGCTTTTCATCGTTGGTGTGAGAAAGTATGTGGTTATGGTAGGATTTGTCTTTGTATCTAAATGTTTTTGGGCACTGGGTGCACTTGTACGGTCGCTCCCCAGTGTGAGAGCGCATATGCACCTGTAGATGATGTTTCATTTTGAATAGCTTTAAGCAGCGAGTGCATTCATAGGGTGTACCACGAATGTGAGGAGTGGTGTCTCCATCAAGTTTAGATGTAGCTTTATGCGTACGGTTGTGTGCTAGAAGATCCGCCCTTCCTTTAAATGACTTCGAGCAGAGAGGACATTGAAGGGGTCGTTCAGCTGAGTGCTCACGGGCGTGAATTTTAAGGCAGTACAATATTGAGAATGCCTTCGAACAATCGGTGCATTTGAAGGGTTTGTCGGCAGTGTCCGCCAACATATGAGTGCGAATGTGTAGGGTGTGTTGGTTTTTATGTTGAAAGGATTTTGGGCACTTTGGGCACTTGTAGGGTAGTTCCAGATGATTCCTGTTATCCGTATCATTTACTTGTTTAATTGGAACGGTGTCAAAACTGTTCAATTGCTCACTGTCCCTTTCTGACGGATGCCAGTCTTCATCATTCGTTTTATCATTCATGTCCTCTTCACTTTCCTCATCCATCCCTGTGAGATGGAATCGATAGCTCCGTTCGCAGGCTTTCTTGAGGTTGAATGCACCCACTGCATCGCCAAGACAGGGTAGACAGATGTTTTCTGGTAGTGAATCTCCTCGCTCTACCACATACCCTGTGCACTCCGATATCATGTCAGCGATACAAGAGTCCCTCTTTTGGTTCTCATCAAAAATGTTCGTTAATGCTCTTGACGTCCCCATGCAAACTCTGCATATCTTCGCCATTTTCCTGAAATTAAATGAACCTTAATGAATCATGTACAGGATTCACTAAAGCTAAATGAGTGGAATTGAACCCACAAGCAGCAAAGTTTTGTAATGATTTCCGTGGCGTTGTTTTTTGTTATGAAAAATTGAATAAATGAAAAGTGCTGTTAAGCGCAAATAACATTCAATCGAATGTCAACATTGTTGTGTTATCGAATATAATAATATGGGTGGGGGGTATTCAGTATTTTTATTTTCATACAATTATTCTTTGGAAGTTGGATTTTCTTCAACAGTTTTTAGACCGCTCCAACGATATATCGGTGGGGAACAAACATCGACTCATCGATGGTCTTGGAGCCCATATCGGAGCTTTTGTGCGGTCAACAGGTGAAAGCGACTCATCGGGCGATAAGTTTTGACGACTTTGATTAACTAATCATTAACGAAGTGTTGGGGTGAGGTGAAAGTTCACGTTGAAAATGTCCGCAAAAGTAGCCAAGTCAAGTAAGCCCGCCTCCAAAGAGCCGTCGGCGCTGGCCAAAATATACCTGATAGCGTACAATGCCGTGCAGGTGGGCGGCTGGAGCTACATCCTGTATCAGTTGGTCAACTACTATCTGCTGCAGGGCCCCGAGTTCCGAGCCCAGATAACGCTCTGGGACTACACACGAGTGGCTGTCATCATCTTCCAGAATGCAGCCTTTGTGGAAATCCTCAACGCAGCCTTTGGCCTGGTGAAATCTAATCCGGTGGTCACCGGATTCCAAGTCTTCAGCCGCATGATGGTCGTCGTTGGAGTGGTCATGGCCACGCCCACGGGCAAGGTATCGCCAGGTCTGCCCATTGCCCTCTTTGCCTGGGCCATCACGGAGATCATCCGCTATGGTTACTATGCGCTGAACATTGTCAAAGTGGTGCCACACTTTGTGGTCTTTCTGCGCTACACCACCTTCATTGCCCTGTACCCGATTGGCGTCACCGGTGAGCTCCTGTGCTTCTGGTGGGCTCAGAGCTATGCCCGGGAGCACAGTGTTTGGAGCACTGTGATGCCCAATAAATGGAATGCCACCTTCTCCTACTTTGCCTTCCTGTGGATTGTGATGCTCGGCTACATTCCCATTTTCCCCCAGCTGTATCTGCATATGTTTGCCCAGCGCCGCAAGATCCTTGGCGGTGGCAGCAGCGCCGTCAGTGCCGAGAAGAAGAAAGCGCATTGAACCTTGCCCACCACCACCACTACCAGCAGCACGAAACGAATTCCGGATTCAATTTGCATAACGCTCGCCATCGCACTTTGGAGTCGGTCGTCGCCCGCTCGTTTTGGGGTCGCTCTCTTACCTCACCTCTTGCACAAACACATTCGATTTTTGACGCATAAGCTTTAGCTATTAAGTGGTTTTTGTGTGTACAAATAAACTAGATAATTTTTCCCCAAAGGCGCTGCAACTAATTTATTTTTTGTGGTTTTATAATTATTGTATTGGGTATTGTAACAGTAACGGCTAAAATATTGGATATCTTTTTCGCTCCAGCTTAGTGCTGGGACCATTGTATGGTCTTCAGATCTATGCCCTCTTGCACCATTTCCCAGAGCGGCGACATCTCGCGCAGCCGCTCCACATGCTTGATGCACTTGTCCGCTGTGTAGTCAACCTCTTCGACGGTCGTGAAGCGGCCAATGCCAAACCGAATGGAGCTGTGGGCCAAATCCTCATCGGTGCCAATGGCACGCAGCACATACGATGGCTCCAGGGAGGCCGATGTGCAGGCAGAGCCACTGCTCAATGCCACATCTTTCAGGGCCATCAGCAGAGACTCTCCTTCAACGTAGGCAAACGATAAATTCAAGCAGCCATTGTATGTGGCCACCGGATCCCCGTTGCGGATGACATGGCTTAGGGTACTGGAAATGCGATCCACTAGGCGGTTGGACAGAAAGTCTACCCATTTCTTGTCATATTCCATCTCCTGCTGTGACAATTCGGCAGCTGCTCCGAGGCCCACGGCCAAGGGTGCTGGCACAGTGCCGCTCCTAAGGCCACGCTCCTGTCCGCCGCCACTCTGAATAGGCTCCAAACGCACTCGCGGCCTGCGACGCACATACAGGGCACCCACACCCTTCGGTCCGTATATCTTGTGTCCCGATATGGACATCAGGTCAATGTTCATGGCATTCACGTCCAGCGGGATCTTGCCCACTGCCTGGGCCGCATCTGTGTGGAAAAATATTTTGCGGGATTTGCAGAGCCTGCCAATTTCCTCGACGGGCTGCCTTACGCCAATCTCATTGTTCACAGTCATAATCGACACCAGGGATGTCTCTGGCGTGAGGGCCTCCTCCAGCTGCTTCAGATCGATGATGCCATTGGTCTGCACCGGCAGGTAGGTGACTGTGAAACCCTCGTTTTCGAGTGCGCGACAGGAGTCCAGGACGCACTTGTGCTCCGTCTGTGTGGTGATGACATGCTTCTTCTTGGTGCCATAGAACCGCGCCACACCCTTGACGGCAATGTTATTGGACTCTGTGGCACCTGATGTGAATATAATTTCCTTTGCCTCGGCACCAATCAGATTGGCAATTTGCTCGCGTGCCTTCTCCACAGCTGTCTCCGATTCCCAGCCATATGCGTGCGTACGAGAGTGGGGATTGCCATAGTAGTTGGTCAGATAGGGCAACATGGCATCCAGCACACGTGGGTCCATCGGTGTTGTGGCCTGCGCATCCAGATACAAGGGACGACCCTTTGTCTGCTCGTTTTTGATGTTGAAACGCACCTGGCGCTCGCGGAACTCTGCAAATGGTTTACCGGTTCACAGCATGCAAAACTACTAATGATCACCCACAGCATTATTTACCTTTGGATGTGGCAGCGAATTTGACTGCTGGTTGTGCGGCCGCTGCCGTAGTGGCTTCATGCCGCACAACACACGCGGCTACATTTGTGGCTCTGGTGCGCAGAACGTGCGCTTGCACGTGTCCCAGCACTTTCTGCATTATGTAATTTGTACTCTAAAATTCGTTTGTTTTCGTAATAATTAAGTTATAATTAAACAATTTCACAAGATTTATTTTCTCTTATCAGCTGATGGTAATCGACAGTGCTATCGATAACAATCAACGTACGTAGTCCATTGTAACGCAAAGCGTCAAGTAACGTAACGTAAGTTCGTATCGACTCGATACTTGAGCGTTGAAACTATATATATAATATAATAAAAACTAATTTTATCCACAACTTCTATAATTGTTCCACTTTATTGCATTATTGAACCCAGTTTCTTTGTAAAGTTCGATGCATCGATAGTTGCTGTTCTGCTATCGATTGTATTGCAAAACAGCTGATTTGGCGCCGCACAAATATTGTTTATTTTTCAAACAATTTTGTAATTTTGTATACTAAGTTAATACAATGGATAGAGGGGAATACAAAAAAGAACCCTCTCCACACAGAAGAGAACGTTCTTCACATAAAAATGAACACTCTTCTTCAAAGAGAAGGAGCCGCTCGCGTTCGCATGAAAGGGAGCGCTCGTCACACCGCAAGGAAACTTCCTCACACAAAAGGAAACACTCTTCCCGTCAAAAAGACCGTTCCCGGTCTCGGGATCGTTCTACGCATAAAAGGAAACGCTCGTCACATGGAACTGAACGATCGCCACAACGAAAAGAAGGCGCGACATCCAGACATGGAAGAAAAATGTACTCCCCACAGAGAAGGGAAGAGTCCTCCCTCACCTCCACACAAAGAAGGGAACGGTCTCCAAACAGAAGGGAACGCTCTCCAAATAGAGGCGAACGCTCTCCAACTAGAAGGGAACGCTCTCCAAAAAGAAGGGAACGCTCTCCAAACAGAAGGGAACGCTCTCCTCGCAGAAAGGAACGCTCTCCACACAGAGGAAAATACTTCCCACACAAGGAGCGTCTAGAAACCGGCGTCCTCACCTACAAAAAGTTGCTGCAGATGCCCATAAATCTGCGCAAGAAAGCAATCCGAGAAGCACGCAATCGAAACGAAAAGATACTGAGCAATTGCAAGAGAAAGAAGAGAAAAAGCAAAGCATGGATCACCGCTCGACGCCAATGCAACGCCGCCGAACGCGCCGAGCACAATGACCTTGTGGACAGCACAGAGCAGGAACTGCGTCAGATCTTGGACGAATTCGGGGAACTGTCGGACATACCCTACGACTGTACGGCCACGGAGCTGTTGGGCGAGGTAAGAATGTCCCCGATTTCGCACAGTTGAGGCAAGCAATTAGCACACCAATGCATTGGTTGGTTCTAACCATCATTGATGTCGTCACTCTCAGTGACTGACCTACTCCAGAGATGCTAATTGATTGGCTTTATTGTGAGGAACGGCTACCGTTATGCCCAGCCAGCGTGCTCTGATATTGAATATTTGTTTCATAATTTCAGATTGCCATCGCGGAGGGAAACGCTACAACGATTTACGTGGAGCGGGACGGCCTCAGCACCCTAACAATCGTGGTTAGTAGCAGGGAAAACGCAGCTGTTTGCACTCACTTTAGGCGGCCTTTCAATTATCTATTGCCTTGATTCAATCAACTAATCGATCAACATTTGACGAGTGAAATGTTGGCGCCGCAATGACAGTCCAGAACAGCCTCAATAGTTGTATTTGTTTAGAAAGTGGGACAGCGCCAGTGTGTTACACTCGTCGGGCGGACTGCAAGTCCTCCCACACCTTGACCAGATCACTGCTAATGCTTCTCCACAGTAGCAGGGCCTGGGTAGCAAACATTACAGCATTGCAGGCCATAAAGTTATAATTCCTGGGCCTGATAACCATGGACCAGCGGGCCCATACGACACCACTCAGCGCAAGGGCAAGAGTCTGATTTTTTGATATTATTCGCGGCTGTCGGTTAAGCACATCGCACAGCCCAGCCAAAGCTACACTCTGTGGGTGAACAAATGAAGTAATTTTGGGAGTAAAACACCTCAAAAGACGGATCCATACCCACTTGACGGTAGGACACCAGAAGAAGACAGTCTGCGAACCTTAACATAAGAATTTAAAATGGGGAAAATGGGCAACTGTTAGCATACCCTTGGGTGAGGTCCAGAAGGGTCTCAGCTGGGTAGGCACACGCTTGTTCACATTCCTGATAACGATGCTACTCAGCACGGAGAAGAATCTCATGTTCTATTCTAACCAGATTTCGACATGGAATTTTGAATGTTTAGGCAAGGAATGTTTTAGTTTGATGCAACTCCAAACAAATCTCTCCCACTCTATCTCTGTCTCTTGAGGCCTTCTCTCTCTAAAGTTTTCTTTCTCTGCAGCTCCATGAACCCGTACCGACCATCGCGCAGCTCAAAAAGGCAATTGCTGTGATCTCCCGCGCCGAGCACAACCGAAGGCAGCGCGAGCGGCACGAAGAGAGTCTCAGGCGTCGTGGATTGGCCGAAGACGGCGGACGCGAAGATCGGCAGCAGCAGCGGCAGAGGCAGCAACAAGTTGCGGTTGGAGCCATGCCGAGCTCCACCGGCGAGTTAGTTTATTCCACTGTGCGCAACGGGCACGATCATCGCGCGTTCGTTTCTTGGCGCTTTCTATGGCGCTGCTTTGGCCTCTTCAACGTGGAAACGAATCAGCCGATCGACGACCGCTCCAACGGACGGGCCACCCTCAAAGAGCTGGGCATTGAGAACGCTGCCACCCTAAAGTTTGTCCATCGTGTCAAGTACTTTGGTTGCCAGAGGCAGAGATAGCGAGCATCCACAGACAGCCAATGACAGTAGTAATCTCTTGTAACATAAACAATCTGATTGGAAAGTCAGCAGTCGTAAGGAGGCCACCTGCACTGCATTATGCATCGACTGGTTTCGCTTTGGTTTTGCATTTCACTCGTCTTTACTCTCGCCCGCTGCACACCGTTCGAGGATGGCAACAACAACAATGTCAAGATCACCAAACGCAGCCTGGAGCTGACACAGACCATAAATATCCAGCGGCAGGAGTACATGCAGCGGCAATGCGAGCTTCTCGGTGAGCACACCCAAACCCAGGAGGATCTCACGGAGCTGCAAATGGATCACATGATTGTGGACAAGCAGCACAAACTCCTCTACTGCTATGTGCCAAAGGTATGTACTATGTACATATGTACATGTCAACCGCTGGCTTCCTGCTGGCTCAGCAAAACGATCGAAAGACGAACCGAGGGGCCATGAATGATGTATTTCTTTTTGCGGTTGCCATGTGCTGTCCCAAAAAAGGCGTCGGCATTAGTCAAAAATCGGCATATACATATATCGCGTTCTCTTTTCCTGCCCCGCTTTGTTTATAAAAAAAAAAAAAACTTGTTTCCTCTTTGCTGCTGCTGGCTGCCTCACGTGTTCTCGTTTTTGGTTTGAAACTCAGCGACTCCAGAGCATGTGTTGAGATTTTTGTTTTGTTGATCTTGCAGCTTGTGGCAGTAGTGACAAGCAAAGAAGATCCATTCAATCAGTGTCTGTGTGTGTCTGTTTGCTCAGACCATAATTTGAAGCTATAGTTGAGTGATGTCGGTCTCCAAATGGATTGGGGTGCACCTTAAAGCAGCTTTGAGCACTCTTCAAAATTAGATTTGTTTCAATGGAGCACTTGTTAGGCATTTTTTTACTAACGCAAATAACATTCAGTTTATTTTTTTATTGGAAAACGCTATTTAAAGAGTATTTTTTGTGCCAATTTATCTGCTTAAGGGCTCTGTTTGAATTACGAAATATAATAATTGAAATGAATCCACCATTAAGTAGCTTTGAGTCGCCTTTTGTACCATGTAGTTCAGTGGAAAAACGTACTTTTAAATGGTACTTTTTGAGCAAGTTGAATTTCTTTTTGAACAAGTTCATATCAGCATTTTTATATACGTATGTACATTCTCGTATATGCAGATTGTATACTAGTTTAATACACGTGAATCTGAAATGTATCCACGCTTCAGCGTTCAAATTGAGTTCTCTAGAGGCTTACAAGTGCATAGCCTTATCGAAAGGGGTTTGCGAACTCATATCAGCATTATTCCACATACATCTATAACTATATATATGTAGTACATATATTCCTTTAATAAAATGCTGATTAAACTGGAATGAAATGCTCTATTACGAGTGTGTTCTCGAACAACATGCGACCCTCAGTTGCTCAGTTAAATGGCCTGTAATTATAGTTAATAATCTACAACTTTTGTAAGCCACAATGCAATTGCCAACTAAATTGGCAAAAACTACTCGCACTATAATAATCTGTTTAGATCGGGAGTCAAAAGTCAATGTCTTAATGGGTCTGGCCAACCGCTGGCTCAGTGATACTGTCCTCATTCCGTCGTTGATAAGGCCTGAAAGTCAGCTTTGAGATTAATTTGCAAATATATTTGGATTAGCTGTGGAAGGGTCCCCATGAGGCCATCAATCTGTGACGTCTTTTCCCCCACAGATAATCCAATCTATTAATATTTATAATACAAATTAATTAACTTAAACTCGGTGCACCTTTGATTGCCTTTAACTAATTGGATTAGGAAATTACCTATAGAGGAAATGAACTAAAGGAAATGGCCTTTACAAAACCACCTGCTTATCAGGCCAGTAAGTTATTGGAAAACATTAAAACCAAAACTATAAGATTAGATTGTCGGAGGTGTCCACACGCTGCCGGTTGCTTTGGAAACAGTGAGCTGTGTGGTGTGATGGTGTGAGGTTCTTGACATAAAAATAGATTTGTGTTTCATGTTGCCGTTGAACCTTTGAACCTCTTCCAAGATGTGCAAACAAATTCATTTCGGCAATTGAGTAATGGCCAATGAATTCTACGTGACTTATCAATGCGATACAAACCCTGATTGTGGACTACTCTGGTTATACCAGTATCAGCTTATTGGGGTAGTGGAGGAAATGTCATCTCAAATGCACACTTCAAAATGTTGTCTAATTTCAAATTATATTACTTGTTCTACAAGTTATAATTTAAGTGTGTAAGAGATATGGTTGTAGTATATAGAAGATATATTTATCGACGGTGTCTGAAGATTTTATGGGAGTTTAATGCCTTCGAAATGGTCGAAAAAACTAGTTGAAAGGTGAAGAATTTTTATTCTAATAGATCAAAAATGTTTAGTAATATTTATAGTAATTTTCAGAATAACAATCATTGTTGAATAATGGCATTTAGCTAGACAATGAAGAATGTTGTGGAGTAGGCGTCGTGTCATCGAACATGCCACCTGAATGCCGAGACACACGATCCCCTTATCAAGGTATTGCCTCCACTCCATGTCTATCATCTGTCAGGGGCGTGCAATAGGAGGGGGAACTCTCAAATCATATAATTACAAGCTACTCGACTCCTCTTTCTCGCATATTTGACACACGCGCGCGCTGGTCAAGCATTTTCCCAGCTCGTTCTTCCATGAAGTCGTAAATTGTTTATGTTTACCCTTGGCCAATAAACCCTCTCCACATGCATATACTCAAACACCCCCCAATGCTCCGCCTCCCCTGTTGCGGTTATTGCTGTGGCTGGAGTGGAGGCTCGACCGGAGAGGCGTCTACTCAGTACGAGTTTGCGTCCATCGCGTCTTACTTTAATGGCTATAAAGAAATTGCGTTCACTTCGCATAGTTGTGTTTATGATTGCTTACGTATTGAGAGTGTTTTTCAGCATTACTCCGAACTTTGGCCCCTTGAATCCCTCACAGTTTGAGAGCTCACATGACAGTGGAACGAGATTGATTGAAAACATCACAATAAATGCTAACATTTTACTTCTTAAGTGCTCACTCTGTGAGCCTTGGGGAAAGAAAGGCCTTAGAAAGGCACGAAAGGAAAGGCTGATGGGTAACATTCACATTTTACTTTCTACAAAGTTTGTGGCAGATCCTCCGGGTGATGGGAACAAATGGTTTTGAATGTTTAAACATTTTTCATTGTAGTACCTGCAAGTACTCGTATTCTGGCAATTACTGAGTAAACATTCTTTCATTCGACACTTCTGACATGTTCCCTTTGCACTGACAGTAATTCCAGTACAAAACTTGGACTTGGACCATGCGCGGAGGTCACTGAAACAGGCACACTGAAGCAATGCTGATTAAAAATGTATGAATGTGTTTGGTTAAAAGCTGTCAAGACGCTAGCAAAAATCACTTTCATCAGACAGCTTGGCACATGCCAGTTTTCCCACCGATCTGAGCTCCTTGAGCCCCCAGCCGGCATTTCATTTGGGATAGTAGTTCCACTGTCTTGTTTGCTTTTGTAATGTAAAATGTTTTTGCGGTGTTTAATTGCTGTCGGCATTATCTGTCCGCCCAGCCAAAATGTTTATATACAATTGTTTTTGTTCGAGCTATACGCGAGTGTTCGCTTACCTCTAGCTATATGGATGTATTCGTTGTGTGTGTTTATGTGCTGCTTAAGGCTGTGCATAGTTTTCGTTAGTTGACTTCAACGACTTGACTTATTGCCCAATGTGTGGCTATTCCCCAAGCAGATCTCTTTCCATCTTTTGCGAAAATTACAATTTATTGCAGTTGGCAATTAAAATGAAAGTACTTGACCCAGCCCAGAGGTCGCCAAAGAGATTTCATTTGACGATTAACATTCGCAGAATTGCAACAGAATGACATACAACAAAAAAGTACAGACATACAGTTAAGGGGTCACTATTCTGAATTTCGATGCCAAGAATATGATATCTGTTTTACGATTCCCCTCGCTCATATTTCAAAGCCAGCAACAGTTCGAGTATTCCTTGCCAAAAATCGCTGACGGGACTATTTGGTTGGGAGTTCTGTTGAATTTTGACTGTCCATACATCTAGATATTGATGTTATGACTGAGGTGAACAGATAGAGGGGTATCGAATTTACTGTTCAAAGTTCATTTTGTTTATGGGAAATGGGAGTTGCTTAAAAAAACACACAAAAGTATCTACTCAACTTTGATTACAGATACATTCTGTGATCTAAGTGAGTTATTGAATTTGCGAACAATCCACTATTAATATCAGAAGCAATTTCAATTTTGATTATCTAATGAAGTCCATCGAAATTTATATGGGCACCTCTTCAAACACTTTAAATCAGAATTATAGTTAATTGACAATAGATCCTATGCAAAATAAATTACACAAATTACTCAACGAAGTGACTCAACGCCAATTGAACAGCAAATATTTACACAAAATCAAAGATAATGATGACAATGATTGGTCTTCTTTTTCCAAAAGTTACCCAATGAGTGTGCAAAATGATTTCTAGATTACTTCGACCTTTGTCTATCACTCATAGGTGTGGTACTCCCCGCGAAGGAATGGCAGATATGCTGAAAGGCTTATCAAAGTTTTCCTTTGAATTATGTGAGCTTGTGAAATGTATGAGAAGTCCATGACTCATTTCCATGAAATATTTCATTAGAAATATAAAGAATACACCACAACCTTGTGGGGGAGTATCTCACAAGGAAAATGTAAACGAAGAATTGTATTTTTCTTGTGGCCCCAATCGGATTTATATTTGATGTTTATTTGGTTTAAATTGCGAAATACCTCTTGAAACTAAACAAATTCTAATGCCACTTTGCAGGTTGCCTGCACGAACTGGAAGCGAGTGCTGATGCTGCTTACGGGGAAGTGGCACAATGGCACCGATCCCCTGCAGATACCCGGCTCTCTGGCCCATTCGGTGGGCATGTTCACCAAGTTCTACGACCTAACAGATCAGGAGAAACAGCAGGTGCTCAGCGAAGACTACACGCGCTTCATCCTGGTGCGGCATCCGTTCGAGCGTCTGCTTTCCGCCTATCGCAACAAGCTGGAGGGTGATTCCCCAAGTGCACAGTACTTTCAGTCGCGTGTGGGTCGGCAGATTGTGCGAGAACTGCGCCCGGAAGCCAGCAATAAGTCACTGGAGCATGGAGACGATGTCACGTTTGGTGAATTCGTAGAGTATCTGCTTACACCAGAGCTCAGCAGGAGCAATCAGTCGGCGTACAATGAGCACTGGGAGGTGATAGCCAAGCTGTGCAATCCCTGCATAATGAAATACAATGTTTTAGGTGCGTATAAGGATCATCGCATCATCATAGGAAATCCTTTTCTAATTTAGTTTCTTCTTCTTCTAGGCAAGTACGACACCTTGCTGGATGATTCCGCATTGGCTTTGTATCTGGCCGGTGCCACAAATCTGACATTCCCCACCGGCCACAAGCCATCCAGCACGAGAGCCAATCTCCGGAAATACTTTGATCCCCTGCCAATAGGTGCCATACGGCAGCTGTATGAGATCTATGAAGAGGACTTTCGCTTCTTCGACTACGGCATGGACGATGTTTTGGGCTTCGAATTTGGCTGAATGAATGAATTTGTAATGTGAATGCTCTCTCTGCTAATTCCGAGTCACTACCATAACGCTTTCCACTGGAAAAGATTGTGATTTTATCATAGTTTTCGTATTAGCAAATATTGGTTTAGTTAATGTTTAGTGAAGCGCCATGCGAATATTATTTTACACTCACCTCTCTCCGCACAAATATCCCCCCAACAATCATCGATTATTACTTGTAGTTGTTTTGTTTGGTTTGTTTAAGAGATTATTGAAGCAATCAAAGTGTTAACTTGTTAGGGAAATAATATTTTAATCACAAGTTTATATATTGTAAAATCTACAAGTATTTTATTTGATTTAAATTTGATTTTAATTGTACGCCAAATGTAGTATAATCCTATTAAATTTATTCGGTTATGTTTAAAAATCAATCGAGTCATTCATAGCAATAAGATTCCATGGATTTCATAGAGCTTCGCACTTTCTGTTCAAAATGTGTAATCACTGGTATCTTTCGAAGCTTAACGATGTTCATTACGATGTAAATATGGTAATCCCTTGGCATTACCCGGCGGTAGGTACCCTGAAAATTATTATATTCTTTTAATTGTGGAGCCCATACATCCTTAAACCATAATTTTGGCTGTAAGAACTGTCATGTTAGCCATTCATTTCTGGGGGAAAAACGACCCTTAAAATATAATAAATTTATACTTCGTAGTGTAAATGTTGCTGTCAAATATTATTGTTATTACAATTGCAATAAATATTTGAATTCCTTACATTTGAGAGTGAGCAAAGATAAATCGTCTTTCTGGTAAATATAATTACTGATCCTTCTAACTATTAGTATTGTAGAATTAAATAGTGTGTAGAACACGATGCATACCGTGGCTTGTAATCTTTCTGCGTTCTATTTTGGTGGAACTTTTTCAATACTAAGTATCCCGGATCGACTACAACTAAAAGTTTAGTAAATAAACTCATCTCTTTGTTTTAAGTACGATTTCTAGATTGTGTAAATAATGGTACTCACAAGAGTATGTTTCTAATACAGTACTTCCCTTACTTATATTGCTATCTTGGACTTGCTAGCTGTATTTTTTGTTTACCAATTCTACAGCGTGCTTTATGAATAACAGATTCGAGTTTAAACGTCATTTCCATTGGTTGTAAAGTATACAAATTGATTAAACGATTCTTTATTGATTTTAATTGTCGATAAGGAATAGTGAATAGAAAGTGTACAATGAACATGAGTCCACCGCATCAGCGCTTTATGTAAATTTAGCTTAAAGCCCATAAATAGTTAGTACGTAAATCTAAAAATTCCCTCTAATTGATTCACGTAATCTAATGCAAATGACGATCACATTTGAATGAGTTTGCACGACTTCTACATTGACATCACCTGAACCCCGGCCACGCTAATCAGTTGTAACTTCGTGATAACACAAGTACATATTACCGTTATCATTTCTACCCGTGCTGCATTGATCGTGGAAAATCGCAAATGCTTTTGCCCCTTGATTGCGCACAAGCTTTCATGTTTTCATCAGCGTAAAATAAAAGCTCAATCAACCGAATGGATGGCGTCGGAAGTTGTTTGTCGCCTTGGAGGGGCGACCCCATGATCAGCCACAGTCTGATGAATTTAAATACGCAATATTGTCAATAAGAGAGACGTGGACGGCGCCCAAACGCATTCGTGGTATTATTTTGTGTGTATTTTTATCTGGGCGACATATAAACAAGAAAGAAAGGTAGCTGTGAAGCCGAAGCTTTTGATACCCTTTGTGTGCGGATGGTTTTGTTATTTTATATGGCCACAATTTGGCAAAATCATAAAGAAAGTTTTAAAGCTTTTCCCAGGAACATTTGTGGAGAAACTTGAGTAGAGCAATGAGAATTATATGTAAATGCTATTTCCCACGAATGGTCTTGTCTTTGTTGCAAACATCGCATTACCCTCTGCAGAGGGTACAACAATAACGACAATCACATGAGCGACCAGCCCTCTTACCCGCCCACTACAAACAAGCACCAGCAGTTCAAGGTCGGCCCCATACAAGCATTTTAGTTTTCGGCTTTGATTTGTTTTTTTTTTTGGTTATTCAATGACTGCTTCTTTTATTCGCTACGTCCGTTTTTTCGCTTTTTTTTGTTTTTGTTGGGTTTTGCATCAATCACAAACTTGAAGTTAGACATTGACAAGACATTCGAAATTATGAATTGTTAGTTTTTGTATAGGGGATAGGAAGTTTGGTAGCATTATATAGGGTGTGCGGTGTGTTGGGAGTGGATTTATTTTGCTTTGGCAAAAGATTATAAGTGTGTGTGTGTGTATATTATTGAAAGCAAAAGGCATATCATATTCCTCTCTCTCCTCGTCAGTCCTTGAATTTCAAAGCATAAACATAAACACCGCCAACGTCACCGTCGTCTCGCAGATCTATTCATTGTAGCTATAGCGCTGCTTCACGGTCCGATACTTCTTCAAAGAATAGAGCGCCTCCACCTCTTTGGCTAAGTAGCGTCCCTGCGCCAACAGAGCCACAATCTTCTTTGGATCGCTCTCATCCTTGTTGTTCATGAATGCGTCATGGATTTGCTTGCGGAACTTTTGAGGCCCATTTTGACCGGGGTACTCACGTCCCAGATATTGCAACTGGAGGAAAAATAGAGTTTACGCAATGTTTTTTTAGGAGGTGGGGGGTGGTGCTGGTGCTGCGCTGTTTTCACAATGGAATGCGGTAGAATGCACGTGGCCGGCATGGGCGGTTGCTGCAGCGAACTTACGTGCTTGTAGAGGCTGATAACTTTGGAGCGCAGCTGTGACATCACCAGAGCTCAGCGAGATGAGTTTGTTTGTTAAATGCAAAAAAATATTAACTTATTTTTCCGTAACTTTAGTGCAGCTTTCAAGATTAGTGTGACCGGAATTCAACAGAGATGGGACGCATTTCAATACCGATATGCAGCGATGGTTTTATGAAGTAACACTTTTCCACTGCCGAAGTTGACGCAACTACTCAGAATAGGCGTGCGCACTGACTGACGCAGGTTATTGATAATTAAATAGCTCATTTGTAAGGTTGATGACGAGGAAAGGCTTGCTGAGGCTTGTCTTCTGCAATGATATAATAAGTTTGGGGTATTTGTTGTATCTTCTTTGTTTTGTTATTATTAGAGGTTTAGATATATTAGCAACTGGTTCCGAAAATGTACCAGTTATTCCACCATTCATCTGTGATGTTCCTAATCTTCGCGACTGTACACTACTCAACATAATGATTCCATTAGGAACCTAACTGCAGCTGTGTCCCACTAAAAACCACTGCTAAATAATTTATTAATATTCATATTTTTTTTCACAAGTAATCAAATTTTTCGCCACAGAAAATCGCAGAGTGAAACGGTGTATCACTTCTGTCACCATTGAAAACCTCGATAGCTATCGAATGAAGTAAACTACCTCTGCCAATCGATTGTTTCACATCACTATTGCAAACAACAATATACCCCAAGGAATCATTTTACTTTTTGTAACTTAGAAACTGCACAATTTGGCTGCTTGTGAGTTGGATTCCTCGAATTTCACATGTGCTCACATTCATTAAGTTTCATTTACTTGCAGAACAATGGAGGAACGGTGCAGAGTTTGCCTCGGAACTACTGGAGAATTCACAAGTATTTTTGATGAGACAAAAAAATGGGACACTCGCATTGCTGACATGATTTCAGAGTGCACAGGATTCGTGGTAGAGCGAGGAGATTCATTTCCAGAAAACATATGTCCCCCCTGCCTTGAGGATGCAGTCAGTGCATTCTATCTTAAAAAAACCTGCGAGCAGAGCCACTATCTTCATTTCTCATATACGGAGAAAGATAACGAAGAAGGAATCTGGAGTGAGGTCTGGGAAGTGACATATTTTGAACCTGTTGATATACATCAAAATGATACCGATAAAGCGGATGATCTAGAAGGACCATATCAATGCGCCCAATGCTCAAAGAACTTTTCAGAGCTTACACATCTCGATGCACACATACGGGAACACACTCAGGTATTACTAGAACACAAGTGCACCGACTGCTCCAAGTCCTTTGCTACCAGTTTCCAACTTGAAGCCCACGCACGTGGGCACAGGGATCCACAACTCTTAAAATGCGACATTTGCCTAAAGTCATACTCAACACTTGGCACTCTTAAAACCCACTATCGTTTACACACGGGTGAGCGACCCTACCCATGTTCTTCCCACTGCTCGAGAGCATTTGCTACTAAACGGGAACTCAAAGCACACATTGCTGCTGTCGCTGGGGAGCATCCTTATAAGTGCCCCCACTGTTCCGAGACATTTAGATCCAAACGTAAGGTGTACTACAGACACTTAGAAACTCACATGGGCACTGAAAAGTGCGCCATTCCGGCAGTCCATTCAGAGATCATATCCGAAAGAACAATGAAAGATAGAACTTGTCTTTCTCCAGAACAATATCTTGAATCGTATATTTGATAAATTTGATGTAATTCTAATAGAGCGAAACATATAATTAAGAAAATGTTGGCCAATGTCAACATTCTGTATTTGAGTTAAATGCTGCCCTGATAAACAGTTTTAGATGTTAGTTCCAATAGAACATAAATCAAATTACATACCGTACTTTTACGAGATTTGTGCGCTCTAAGATGAGCTTCTAGCCAAGTGTATTTTCATTGGTTTATTACAGAATACAGAATTACAGTAAACATATGTATGTATTTACATACAATAAATAACTACATTTTCAAAATTGGTTTGACTGTGTGCGCCAATTTTCAATTTTTATCATTAAGCTGAAATGAACAATATAATTGTTCAAAGTGTTTACAGAGGAAAAAAAATGAGACAGAAATAATAAGGCTGTCATTCTTGTCAATTGAATGTATAGATTTATAAACCTCTAGGAGCATATTTAAAATATAGAGATAGAGTATTCTTAGGGTTTAAGTATATTTTACTATCTATATTAAATCGTATATGAAAGTGTTTTCAGTCTATTTTTAGTATATTTTTGATGGTCCACTTGATCGAGAACAACGCACTCACACTGTTTGACAGCCCTGGTAAACAGCTGTTCCAAGAAAGAAGGAAGGAGTAGTGAAAACTAGCCAATTTTGTGGAGAATTTATTGTAGATCTGATAAACTTATAGTTTAAGCGCTGAGAACCCTACTAGCTTTTTATGTTAAATACATTTACATACTGAAGACAAATACCAAACAAAAATAAATACTGAAGAATACACCCAAAAATGCAACCGTGCAAAAGTCCAGGAAAAAAAATACATCAACAAAACCAAAACAAATATTTTTTGTGTTAGTTTCGTGCTAAATAGCTAGCCATTTGTTACTAAATATAGTTTAAAACGTGATCTAAGTAGTTAAAGCACATCCCAAACATAATGGCAGCACCGCTGAATCAATGAAAGTGCACGAAAAAGTCAAAGGAAAATTTGAGACACTTGCGACAACGACCTCCAACACAAATACAAAGTGGGAAAAATCGAACAGTATATGTTCGTACGTGTGTGTGTGTGTTTGTGCTCCCATAGAAATAATAGATTGAATTTATAATCAAAAGCACGGCACTGCAGCACACCGTTAATGCTAAAGTAGCCACCAAATATGATATAGTGTTGTGTATAAATGTTTATGTGTACAGTGTGAGTCGATAATGTGCAACAATGATGATAAGCAATCAATAGCGATAAGTGCAAAATTCCATTAACACAACAACAACAACGACAAAGGCCGTCATTCGATCCATCCGAGCACACAGCACACACACACACAACATGGAAGTGGAGGAAACAAGCGACGACGTCTTCCCGCTGGGATTTCTGGAAGTCGGCACCTGGAACAACTCCCACAATGTAGCCTTCAATGACATGAATCTGGATGCGCGAATGGTATGTGACTACGAATATACAAAAGCATACAATATGTATATAGCGACTCTTAACAAAACTAGGGATTCAGTAATGATAGCTCCCATACCATGTAAGATTTAATGCAGTTCAGCAATATATCGAAGAGGATAAAGTGGTGCCACTATCACTTACAGAAACAGGGGGAGGACACAATACGAGTATGTACATATGTACATCTCAATTAGGTCGAAGTGCACACGCACACACCTCAAAACATAATAATATGTGCATATACATATATAAATGTAATCTGATTATAATACGATGGTATGGGTAAATGAATCAACCGACGAGTGGCTTTATCTCCACGGCGAATGGACTGATTGCTGGCGTTTAATAGTCCCAGACCCCGTCAGAGTCGCACTTTCCAGCATTTCCATTCCCCGCCACAATCGGCCAGTCCCTGTTGCCCGTTAGAGCTCTCACTTTTGTGTCCCGGCAAGTGGGCTTATCAATCATTGGGGTTTGGTCATTGACACACACCCACAGGGCTCTGTGTTCGTACTATCCCCACTGGCTGAACAGAACACAGAAGACCCAGAACCGCTGATAGTCATTCAGCATTTACTTACATACATACATCTGTATGTACACAGTTTTTTGTATTATTATTTCCTACACTCCACGCCGTCATGGTCTTCTGCTATAACTGTAAAACGAAGTAGTTTCTTTTATACATAAGCTCAATGCATATTTATGCATACAAACTAAAGCAGTTTTTGAATTTTGAAAACTTTTTCTAAATAACACTTAATAAGCTAGCTAAGTGTCATAGTTTACAGATCAATAAAATAGATGACGAAGTTAGAAAACTTGGCAGATTCACTACTGTAATACACATTTGCCCTTCCAGTTTTGGACTAGCACTGTCCAACTGTGGGGCTTAGCCAGCCCCACCCCGAAATATGTAGAGCTGAAACACAGTCTCAGTTCTAAAACTTTGCCCCCATCTGATGCTCATGTACTTATACTTCATTGTACATCAACTTCACGTACAAATCTCGTCAAAATTATATTCCTTACTTGCAACAAAAAAACGTAAAGTTCTAATGTCAAAAAGCGAGGGACAAATATTAGAAGGAACGCTTCTAATTCCGATCTCTATTTCATTAAAGCGCGAGCCCAAATTTCTGGTTTCTTCTTTTCTTTTCTTCTTTAAACGTTTTTTGTTTGTTTGCTAAAATCTTTGTAAATTATGCATTCACTGAGGGTCCTCGTGGGCTGTGCAATGCAACGCCAGGGAGTGCTGGGCCGCGCTGTGTCTTCGACAAATCTTTGCCGCTTGGCCAGCAGCAAATGGAGCATACCGGAGCCCACCTTTGTGGTGGACGATCCACGGGATATTGAGCTGTCGGATGAAGAGAAATCAGGTCCATTTGTTCCCAATTTTCCGTCGCTTCAGTGTCCCGAATTGTTTTTTTTCCCACAATTTGTGTCGCCGGCTCACCATGACTACGAGCTGATGGATGAGCAGCTCCTTCAAAAGGGGAACGCTGTGATGTGCCACAATGGTCAGCGGCTATGCAGTGACTTTGAGTTGAAGGTGCAACCGATGCCCAAGCTGTTGATCTCTTACTTGAAGTCCATCTTCTACCGCAACTGCGAGGGCTTTCAGGGCTTCAGGGACTCCATGGAATTCACCACTATCAGCCTGAAGTTCAATTGCGACGTGGACCTGGCCATCAATACCTTTTTGGAGGTGGCAATCAGAGAGGCGCACAGCATCGCAGAGGCCAATTACTGGGTGGACTTTGTGAATCCGCATACGGGTCGGGCTCATTATGCACCAGCAACTGCGGAACTCTCAAACTGTCAAAACTTTGGACTTGCAGGCCAGCACTGGAACTACGAGAATGTCAATGGCTGCACCATTGTCAAGGACGGCTTCGAAAAAGAATTTACGGGCACCATTTACACCGATGCCCCCGTAAAAATCATAAAAAATTGGTGTTGCTCTGAGGATGAACTTTGAGCTGAAAGATCTGTAAATGTTTTGCTAACCTGAGCCTGATAGTTGATTGTCAAAGCCCTCGAAGACCCAAATGTATTTGAAATATTTTCTGTTGTCATGATTTAAGTAAAAATTTCGCACAATTTACCAAATTTGCTTATTTATTTATTAATTTTCTAAGATATATTTGTTCATATATTGTTTTTCTGTGTGGACAACGAACTGGTACCTACTCCCTCGCTCTGAGAACGTCGAGGAGTGCGTACGAGAGCCCTGCATTCACTGCACTCATAAAATCACAGTTCTACTCGTTATCGAGTCTTTCCTTCAGTCAGATTCGAATCAGCCCGAGTGCCTAGCCTTGGAGCTGGTGAACTTAGTTTTTGGAAACTTCCACATAAAGAGTTGCCTTTAGGTTTTAAATCAAATTCATATCCATATTTGTGTAATCGTTTTCACAGACCTCTGACAAAAATTCTCAATTGTTTTTCTCATAATTCTGAGAATTATTTTACCAGACGGAAAATCAAATTCTAAATCAAAGTAAAATGTCCGACCGGAACTACGACGATGAGCCCAACGGATTGACAGAATTCTTTTCGGAATCGCTTCGAAATGCGATTACCACAGTCACTCAAGTAACAGCGACAGCCGTGCAGAAAGTGTGTGACGGCTCATGGATGATATTCTCAGCACCCCTCATACTGCTCGGGCCCATTATCTTTGAAATCGAACGCAACCACGGACTCAATCATGTTTGGATTTAATTAAAGGAAATTAAATAAATTTTAGCTATTGGAGAAATACATATTTCAACGATTTATTATTTATTGAGTTACGATTTTTAAATACGTTTTTTGGCGAATTCTCACGTGTCGATTGACTTACGTTCCCGTCCTCAGAGGTCTCACGAACAGCAACTGTAAACCGGAACGACCAATTCTATAAGCTTTCATCCTGTTTGTTATTTCAAGAATATAATTAACTTTTCTTTATAAAAACACAAACCATCCTTTGCTCTTTTTTTTCTTTAGATATGGCTACTCTGCTCGCTGCTGACGACCATCACCTGGGTGACGTACATCACGTTTTACAATCATCGTGTGATCGGGATGCTCATCACAAAGATAGCCAATCGATGGTTCATTAAGGGTGCATACTTTAAGATCGGATCGGTGTCACTGAATCCGCTGGCGGGGAAGATCATGTTCCGTGACTTTGTGTACATCACCTACGATTACACGGTACGGGCGCAGGATGGATACTTTATATTCCGCTGGTGGCGGTCCTATGTGCCCAAGGATGTGTCCGAGGGTAAGCGAGGAATTCAAGCCAAAGGAAATCTATCTAAAATGTGTCCACTTTCCCCCACAGATCTTTCGCATTCGGATACGCGTCTGTCCGTTCAGTTGAATGGCTACGAGCTGCATATCTACAATCGATCGGATCTGTACGATAAGCTGGAGAAGACCTTTGGGCTGGAGCCGTCGCTGCTGATACCCACGGATCTGCTGAGCAACGAGGAGCGGAATAAGCTGAAGGAGCACAACATGAATCTGGAGAACGCGCGTCAGAGTCAGCGGGTGAACAGTGTTAAGAACTCGGAGGCCATGCAGGCGACCACGTGGCGAGATCTGATACCGGTCATCAAGATCGACATCTGTTCGGGTCGCTTTGTATTTGGCAATCGTCTGACGCCCACCACACTGTCCATATCCGTGGAGGAGGCGCACTGCACGTACAGCACCAAGCCGGCGGTCTGTCCTCTGGATCATTTCATGCATTTCGTGAAGGCCAAGGTGGAGAATGCCAAGGTGCTCTTCTGTCCGAGTCCCAAGTACACGGGACTGATTGACGAACCGCCGCGTTACATGGGCGAGGGCTTTGTGGTGATGATGTCCAACCAAATGGATCTATATTTCTACATGGATGAGCCAGGCGTTGTGCCCGAACAGCCCGTGCAGATTGTGCTGCCTAATGGTGATGAGTCGGAGCCATCGCCGCCTGTTTGGGGCATCAATGCGCACTGCCTTAAGGGCACGGACTTCAGCTACGGTCCCTGGGCCGATCGACAGCGGGATCATCTGTACAAATACTTCTATCCATCCGATTGGAAGGAGGGAGAGGTCACACCCACACCGCAGCCGGGCGAGCTGCGCAGCTATCAGTCGTTCGATGTGACGCTGTGTGTGCTCAACGAGGCCACTATCGACATACTCTTCTCGAAGGAAAAGGAAACGAATGCCATGCACATCACTGTTGGACCGGCCTCCTATGTGGAGGTGACAATACCCTGGATCACGCTGCCCGACGGTTATACATCAAAAATACAGGGACAGCTCTTCCATGTGGAGGCCACCACCTCGCTGCAGTACCGCAGTCTCGCGGAGTTTGAGTCCCTGGAGTACAAGGTGCGCATCCATTATCCCACCAAATGGAATGCCCCACAGGACTGGAGCGTGTCCCTGGCCGGGTGCAAGACGAGCGCTTTTATTGTGTACAAGCACAAGTGCTTCTTCCAGGACCTCATCGAGGACTGGGCGAACAAGGCCCGTCCGGATATCCTCAGCTTTGTGCCCTACACGTGCAATTTTAATATCCGCCTGCACGAGTTCGAGATTCTGATGCTGTGCAACGAGTACAATTGGATCGACTGCAGCAGCGCCAATCAGGAGAACAACCATTTGGCCTTCTGCGGCGATGTCTTCGAGATGAGCTTTGCTCTGCCCTTTGACGATTTCCTGCCCAAGACGGTGACGCTGAAGTTCTGGATCCACGGCGAGGGCCTCGACCTCAGTATGTACGTGCCCGAGGTGTCCTCGGTGCGTCCCATAGTTTTAGCCATAGACGAGAATGCAAGACTGTTGACCCGCGAGGGTAAGCTCTGCCGCCGGCCGGAGCTCTATACGAAAAAGTGGCGCAAGATTTGTCAGCGCTCCGCTGGTTGGATTGACTGCTGGGCGGTGCCCATTCTGGCGCTGTCCATTCAGTATGTGTATCATCCGGTGCCGCCGCTAGGCCCCGATCCACAGGCGGACATCACGACGCCCGAGAAGGAGGAGATACTCCTCAGTCCTATGCGCATACCCAAGGTGCGAAAGTCGCCAGTCAGCAGCTGGCAGCAGCCACCGGAGCAGTTTAGTAAATTCGATCCGGGAACCTTGGCGGCGGATCATGTCACCGTGGAGCTGGAGATCGGCAGCTCTGTGCTGATGGCCTACGGGAATGTGCTGCGGAACTTTATCAGCCTGAAGGAGAACATTTTCGGGGAGGATCAGAGCTTCACTGACATGGAGCAGTCGAATGTGAATCTCAAGGAGCCACCAGCACTCAATCCCAAGGATCAGCTGCTGGCCAAAGAGAAGGAGCTGGCCAACAAGTCCATCTCGGAGGTGCAGGTACCAGAGGAGAAGCGCAAACCCTTCGATCCGCGTCTCTATCGGCCGCTCGAGGTGATGGTCTCCGTCATTATACACGACATTCAGGCGCATGTGATGAAAAACTGCAACGATGATGATCCGCCCTGTCCGGTGGTGCTGATCGAACGATTTGGCTTCGAGATGAATAAACGCTACCACGAGACGACGCTCCAGGTGCTCGTCAGTCCCTCCTATCTATTGGCCTCCGATAGCCTGCAGCGGCCGCAGCGGGAGCAGCACATCAATCAGGGACACCTGTTGCTTTCGGCCGTTCAGGTGCGTGGTCATGCGATGTTCAGCAACGAGGGATGCGCCCTGGACGAGGACACACTCGAATATTCTTGGCTGGTGGAAGTGCAGCTGGGCAAGCTCACGGGGAAACTAACGCTGCCGCAGCTCGTGAATGTTGTGACGGGACTGGAGACGCTCATTCTGCTCGCCATCGATCCCGAGAACTGCCTCAAGTCGCCGAAAACGGTACGGAATTGCCATCACGGAGTGCCGAGCAATCTGTGTCCCCAGACCAAGGAGGAGAAGAAGTACAAGTGCCCCTCCTCGGAGGACATCAAGTACAAGATGACGCGTGTGTCGGTGGATGCTGTCGATGTCTATCTGATAGAGAGCGGCACGGCACTGCATGCCTGGATATCGCCCATTCGCCTTGCCAACTGCAATCTGCACGGACAGCGGGTCAAGTCGGGCATCTCTGGACTGCTACCTTCCATTCTGCTGCGTTTATTCATGCTGCACGCCACCACGCCATCGTACAACACCAACACCACGGGCAGCAATCGCTCGGGCAAGCTGCGTCGTGCCGATCAGGACTCGTTAAAATCTCAGGATCATGCGCCCCCGCACGCCAAGGCTTGCGGTAAAAGGAGCTCCAATTCGTTTTCTCGGCGCGATTCGCGTGATGAAGCCACACGAAGGCTGCGGGATAGCTTCTCAGAGCCGCAGGCCAAGCGCACCCCAGAGACGGTAGATCTGTCCGAGAACTGGGTGGAAGTGGGCTGCACCTCGTTGGGACCCATACTGCTAGAGGGAGCTTCGGCACTGCCCATACCCGATCATGAACTGCATCTGGTGCAGCACAAGTGAGTGGAAAATGAGCATTAATTGGTTTTCTTTTTACGCCTCTCTTTTCGCCCTCTCTTCCGTACAGTTTCCTGCGCGAACACGATGCCAAATTCAAGCGTTTGTGGTTCTTGTGGTCCAACAATGGCAGTGCACTGTCCTCCAGCACAGAGATCTCACGCTGTGGCTGCATCGGAGGCTGCGTTTTCTTTGGCAGCAATCGGAATGGACAGAAATTCTTCAAGCCCACAGCACAGGATGTCCTTGATAACTACAACATTGCGCGTTATTTGTGAGTGTGGCTCAAAAATGTGTGCAAAAAATTAGAGAGAAATGATTTACTTTTGTCCCCACAGCATCATCAATAACAACAAGGACTTTGGCTTCGGCGAGAGCATACTCCATCAAGGACAACTTGTCTTCCACACGCCACCCTATAGCCTGAATTGTGTCTCACTCTACGATGCGGCCGACTTCAATGGCAAGGGTCGGCTGTACAGGCCCACTGGCGGGGATTTGCGGAATGGCGGTAGCCTCAAGAAATCGGAGCACTGCTCCCTGCCAGATGGCACAAAGTTCAAGATCGGCGGCAGTGCCAATGCCGCTGTGGAGAAACCAGAGCTGAGCAGCCGCCACAAGTCACGGGAGAGCATCGGGTCACCCAACACACTGGAGAGGCGCAGCAAGCGTTATCCCTGTACGCGTCAGACCTCAGTGGAGGTGCCCTATGCCCGCCTGCTGGATAGCCCCTCCAAGAAGCTACAACTGCAACAGCATGAGGCAGCTGCTGGCGATTCAGGCATGAACATCAAGCGACGCGGCTCCGATTCGAACAGACTGCGAGTGTCGCCGCCCAAGACAAGCATATCGGACTCACGGCTTACGGGCGAGGCGCTGGATGATGAGCATGAGGTAGGTTCAATGTAAGCAAAGAAAATAAATTAAAACTTACATTTGTTCCCCTGCAGATGCCCGATGAGATGTCGCATTCGGCACCGCATTCGCATCCTCTGGAGTTTGAAATTGCCGACATTGCGCTGCACTGTCAGGCACTGGGCGAGCAGCTGCCGCGAGAGGTACAGCGCACCATTTCCTTGACATCGGAGAATCCCTCGGAGATGTTCTTCTCTGCCGAGGAGGACATATCGAATGTGATGTCGCAGCGTGGATCCATGAAGCAGCGCAATAGTGCCAACAGCGGATCCGTCGTGCTCTCTGGCAGGAAGCGTTTCTCTTCAGATTTGAGGTACGCAAATTACTTGCTATTCAAGTATAAGCATAATTGTTTCCCTTTCTTTATTGTGTGCAGCATTGGTGCTCAAAACGAGAACGGCAGCCACACGCTACCCACATATCGCAGCGATCTGGAGATTCATGCCCCAGCCGATGGCAATAAAACACTGCCCAAGCGGCCGCAGAGCACCACAGAACTGGTAAAACTAAAGAACCTTTTATGCTTCTCATATGCTAGGGAGATTTGTTCATTAATTATAATATATACATCCACATTTATACACGAGCCGCGTTTCGCTTTTCTGCTTTTGAAGCCAAGTTTATATCTATCTCACTTTCTGTATCACAAAAATCTCACTCGGCGAAAGAAGCTGCTCAAGAAGAGATTCTGAAAAACTCAGTCCAATGCATGCTTTGTTTATCTTTAAACTTAAGATCTAACTGAACAATCTGTATATTTATATTATTATAAATATTTTACACCACAGTTCCATCAGGAGAACATTGGCTATTCGTGGATGAAATTGTTACAATTTTCTCATTTAGAAATCAGTTAGCTATTGATAAATCTATTATTTCGATCAAGTTCTAGTATTTCATTGCAAAAAATACCAGAATGAGTCCTAGTGGAACCGTGGCATATAACTCTTAAGCGACGTTTTCTCAATGCTAAGTTAACATTTAAAACCCATGATCTCTCTCTTAACTGAACATTGAGTAGCCGTGCCATAAATCTGTAACTATACAACACACCTAAATTCTATTCCTCTCCTCAAAACTCCTCGATCTTCATCATAAATCAAATTAAATAACCAACAAACAAAAAATAAAAACCAAAACAAAAACAAAATACTCATCCAGAACGAAGACGCGAGACGCATTCACGGTCTTGCCACACCAATAAGAAAACAAATAACAAATATCTCATCACGACCTGAGTACCGACATTTTGTTCATGATGTGAGTAGTTCTTAGTTTCCAACCGCAAAAACAAAACAAACCAAAGAAATCCTCTTAGAAAGTAGAACCACAAAATCTCAATGTACCTGTAGAATTTCATTAATTTGTTTATAGATTTTCACATCCATAGATTTTCCGAAATTTACACACGTTTCAGGTGAATGGACAGTTGCATGGACTGTCTGTCAGACAGTAATTAGAGCATGCTTCGATTGGTATTTTAACCTAATCTCGAATCCTAGTTCTAAGTTAAGTTTTCGTTCCATAATTCTTGTGCTTGCGCCACTTTTTGGCTTTTGCCTATTTAGTTGTAGCTAACCCCAAACAAACCTCTTTTATTAATCTTTTCGTTCTCTTCACCACTAAATGTTTCACAGGCGGACTCTCGTGGCTCATCGTCGGGCACTCCATCGCTGTCGTCGAACTCTTTCATCTCTGCCATGTCATCGCAGGAGGATGTGGCTCTGGTGAATCTCCATCAGCAGGTCAATCGACCCATCATTGACTCGCCACTGCTGATGGCCAGCTATCTGAATCATTTGTCGCAAGTCAAGTGCTTCAATTGGAATGGCTGCTCCTTTCCCCTCGGCCCGGATGTCTTCTCAACGCCGCTCTTCAGCGAGAACGAGGATGGAGGTCTAACCTACATTGGCAGCAAAATGTTGCCCCATTTCGAATTGTATTCTTGCTGGCGTGAGATCAAGGTGGTGCCACGCTACGAGAATGCCACGGGCAGCAACAGTTCGGCCACATTCATGGGCGGACCCAAGTCCCATCCTTGGGATCCCAGTGTGCTTTTGAAGGAAGAGGAAGCCGACAAGACCACAAATGGCTTCGATGATGGCGAGTTTATGAGCCTCCAGGCGGAAGGAGGAGCTGCATGCACCTCTGTGGTGGCCAGGCTGAAGGGCCAACTAAATGTCTTCCTCACGCCGCTTCTGCTGGAGGGACTACAAAGGTTCGTATATGGAAAATGTTTTACACATAAATCATATAAGATTTCTTTCATTCATTTGGTTCATTATTCATGCAGGCAAACGCTTTATGAGAATCATACTTTCTGCTTCATCAATTCGTGGGCTAAAAAATATAATTACATTTATTTAGTTTTTCTGATAAAAACACGTTTTAACAACAACAACAAAAAGTCAGCGCTTTACGCGCAAATGTGGGAAACCCGATTCCTGTAGGGCAGCCATATCGTCATTGCTCGGACCGTCCTGATCGCGTGGGAAGGAGTCCATTAGCTTTTTCATATAGGTCTCCTTAGAGTTCTACAGAGTGGATCAATCCACAGATAAAGTATGGACTATATGTAATTGATAAAAACTCACGTCTGGGGCATCGTCCGTTCGCTTGTTCTCTCGCTTCGTTCGACTGAATTCGAAATATTCATTGGGAATCTGTCCCTGACTGTCACCGCCCATTTTCTGTGTATTTTCGCTCTGGCTGTGATGCTCGCCAAGACCGATCGGGCTTTCGATGTTGCCGTTCTCCATCTGGATAAGGTAGCGCGTCGGTTCGCGCTCATTGCTGGCAAGAAAACTGCAAAAAAATGTGTAAACAAATTTAAGCACGTGTGTCGCGGAAGTAGTTATGCTGCCAACCTGTCGACAGCACTGAGCTGTGGTCTCACATTAATGTTATCGTATGGTAGCGGCTTCTCCTTATGTGATTTGGCTTTATTTCGCTGTCGATGTGCCATTCGCGAGAGATGATGGCGTTCGTAGGTTTCTGTATGCTCCAAGGGAGTTTCCTCCCGATCCTCAGCAAGTGGCTTCCCTTCGCTGTGCTCGACCTGATCTTCCTTGAATTCTTCATCCAAAAAGGGTCTGAAACTATCCTCATCCACTTGCTCAATGCCCGCTAGCTCCTTGGGTGGAACGTAAACCGAAGAGTCATCGGCGTTCTCCTCATCGTAATCGAGTGGTGACTGCTTCCACATTTTGGTGGATTCTCTTTCGCGGAATCTGTCCAGGCACTCGAAATCATCGGCATTGCAGTCTTCATCGCTCTTGACAATCGGTTTGGGCTTGCTCTTATTTTTCTTAGTCTTCTGGCATTTGGATAGGTCGACGGGTGGATCCGAGTTGTCGTCGTCTGGCTTGTTCTTGGAGGAAGTTTTCTTCTTGGGGCCTTCTGGAGTTGTTTCGGGAGGATCGCAGGTAGTCCCTGCTGTTTTCGGTAAGATTCGTGTGGAAATTCGGGAATGCGGCCTCTTGGTGCACAGCTTTTTGGGTTTCTTTTCCTCAACCTCATCCTCGTCCTTGCAGTTATCGTTGAGTTGGTCATCCGATGCCAGCAGATCCTCAAATACCTGCTCATCCGTGCCCTTAGCTTGCCTCAACTGGTTTCTTTGACTTGCTTGCTTTGGAAAGTCTCTCCAACTGGTCATAAAATCTCATTCTCATCTACAAACACTCACCGTTCGGGTCCGAGTTGGCATCATCACCGTGATTGCTGTGCTCATCCAACAGCCTGTCCAGCCTGGTCAGATCTTCCAGGGATAGACCATCCAGGGCAGAGCGAACCTCGCCATCGCTTAGGCCAGCTGTTAGATCAGGATAGTTGTGTGGATCAGCATGTTGTGCCTGCGTTTGAGTTCATGAATTAGTTTGAGGTGGACTCTCTGTAAAAGTAGAATGGATACTTACCAGGGGATACGCGTGTAGTAATAAAGGGACTATGGAATATAGTAAACAAAGCTGCATTAAAAGCATTTTCATTTTATCAAACCTAAATTTTATCTTGAGAATAATTGCAAAGCCAACTACGGATTTTATTTGAGTGGGATTGAAACTGTTGCTGTTGAAGTTCGATTTTAGTTTAGTTAAATATTTGTATGTACAGTTTATGGTTGAATGTTCTGTACTGCTTACGAGAATTATTTAAAAGTGCTAAAATGCAGCAACAATTTTGATTACCGATTAAAATGTTTCTTTATCCCTTTCCAGAATGGTTGAGGCCGCCATCCCGACCATACAGTCAATGCACCTGCTCTCGGTCGTTAACTTCATTCACACGTCTTGCATTGCCAAGGTGAACAACGACAATATACTGAAGAGAGACCAGAGCCTCAGCTACTGGTCGCAGGTGCACTCCAACTCGAAGCGATCCACCACAGAGCGACATCTGCAGGGACCCGGAGACTCGTTCCTTAGCGATGTCTACGAGGAGAGCATCTCGACCAAGACACAGGGGCTGATTGTGCTGCCAAAAGTCAGCATAACGATGCTGCAATCCTCCATTGTGGAGGAAGTGATATCCGTGGCAGCACTGGACAATGTTCAGGTAAGAGTTTGACAATCTCTAAGCAAAAACAGAATTAATGTTGTCCATTTGTTTGGCAGGATCTCAGCTGCGTCTCGCTGCTGACCTTCTACATGGAGGGAATCTCCACGAAATTCCATTTGGGCAAAACGACGCGTGCCTCCATGCATAACGTGTACATCCAGCAGACAGTGCAGTCGGGCAACAGCCACAAGAAGGGCGGCATTATGAAGGGAACGCGTGCCCTGCTGGCGCATCTTTCCTCGCAGACGCGGCCGGACAATGTGCAGGGGGAGCCCATTCTCATAGAGACATCGGAGAAGCAGCTTGAGGAGCTCGTCATTACTCTGGACATTGGACGTGCGCATGCACAGCTGCGACGCCTGAAGACGGAGGGTCAGTCCTGTGCCCAGGACTCACCCATTATTGTCACTGCCATTCCGGAGCACAAGAGCAAAGTGCTCTTCGAGTGCCTGAAGATGCCGGAGAGCACGGGCATCGAGAGCATCGGCTACATCATGTTCGAGTGCGGCCTGGAGGGTGTCGGCGTGAAGATAGTGAAGCGTTCGCATTTTGAAAAGTCCGAGAACAGCAAGGAAGAGCTGGCCGAGATGGCGGGCGCAGGAGGCGAGGGTGTGTCCGCAAGCGGTGGCTTCAATCTCAACGATCTGGTGGGTCAGGGTGCGGCAGGCAACGAGGGAGGAGCAGCAGCACCCTCCTCGGATGCTGGTGCCACATCCAAGGCGGAGGCTGCCTGGCGCATGATCACCAAAAAGCCACCCACACCAAAGACACCCAAGGAGAAGTTCCACCAGGCCCTGGACAGCGTCATGGTGAGCGAGAGCTCCACCTCTGGGGCTGACCAGAGGAAATCCACACCCAAACCTCCCGACGAGGATATAGAAAAGGGACCCACAGCGACAGGTAATCAAGGAGCTCCGAAGAGCGGGGCAGCCGGTGGCAGCAACTCCAAGGATGCCTACGACAAGGTGCTCTCCAATGTCAAGGAAACCGACAAGACCTCCTCCTGTGTGATCGAACTGAAGGCCGTGTGGTTAAACTTTGCGGCACCGCCCTGTGTGCCCATCACCCGAAAGATCGATTTGACGCGTCTCGACTGGAATCTGCTGAGCACTGCCTCGCCAGCCATCACCGCTTGGATGAATCCCAGCAATCGGTTGGCCATCAAAGTGGTTGCGCTGCTGAAGGCGTTGCACACGAGACAAACGGCAGTGGCCGCCTGTCTCATGGCAGAGGCCATGGACAATGAGAAGATCCAACGGAATCCAAAGATCAAGAAGGTGAGGCAACATTTTTGTTTGTATTCCTGAGAGTGATGAATCTGTAACAATGCATTTGTAGAGTCGCTATGCCAACAACTATACGCTGCTTTCGAAGACGCTGCAGGAAGATCCCAGCTGTCAGCTGTGCTACATTATGCAGAAACTAGTCCTGGACGAGGGTGTGCAGCGCATTGAGCCCATCTTTAAGCAGGGGGATGTACCACATCTTAATACGCTGCGTCAGGTGAGGCGCTCTCAAGAGGCTACATCTTTTCCAAGCCACGATATAACCCCTTTTCTTTGTAGGGCATCATTGTGCTGAGTCGCCAGTGGAAGAATACTCTTTACAATCCGATACTCTTTGAGCATCAGTACAAGAACAAGCTGGCACGGCCCATCAATGTGACATTCTCGTTTCCGCAGAACGAGGAGGAGGCGGAGAATGATGAGTGCGAAGGTGATGTTGAAATGGGCGCCTATGCGGGCGTCGGCGAGAATCCGGAAGAGAGTGAGAATGCTTTATTACTTGGGCAAACACAGCATCATCGAACTCACATTGGTATTTTTTTGATTAACGCTCTCTCTCTTTCTCTCTGGTCTACCTCCTCTCTCTCTCTCCTCCTAACCTAGTTATCTATGTATAGTTCTCTTAAACAGCCTCTTTCCCTCCTTTTCCTATTTCCTATTTCCACACTTTCTTGCACGGATTTGTTGAATGTGTGTTATATAGTCTCTTTTAGTCTATCTCTCCTTTGTTTAGCTTTGATCTATCCACTATTTTCCCTTCAACTTCCCCCCAATTCTGGGTGTCTCTCTCTTCTTGTACACTCCTCCTCTCGCACACATACACACACACACATACGTTTTGTTAAATGCTTTAAGTGTTCACACATTCATATTGTTTGATGCTTTTGCGTTTGCATTATACTCGTACTACAATACAAACTATTCTTTATTCTATCCTTTCTGGCTATTATCTATCCTCTATATAGAACTAAATTTATAACTAAATGTGTTGTACACTAAACGGAACTTTTCAGTGAACCCAAAAACAAATAGTAGAACTAAACTGTCGTAAACAGACTTTGAAATGAGACAAAAGTTCAGCTTAAAGTTCACAAACAAGCAGAGCAAAGAAATTGTCGTTGCAAAATAACTGCAAAGCAACGAGCACAATGTAGCTGAAAGCGGAGTTGAAAGCTTCGTAGAAAGCTTAATTTAAAGCGTAGACGAAAAATACAAAAACACTGCACCAGTGCAAGTGCGCACATTGCTGTTTAGCTCAGCTGAGAGCTCTGCCATTGATCAACCCTCAAGCAGGGCTCTGCACGCGCCTTTTGTGTGCATAGACGTAGCTCCAGTTGGACGTAAAACTGAGCGTAAAACGTGAGCGGCAGCGCCGCAAGCTAATGTTTTCGAGCTTTGACTGACAAAATATTCAAGTTTAGTTTCGCCACAAACTGTATTTACTCGTAGATGCTTCAGTTCATTCAATATAAATGTAACAGAAGTACTGAGAGAGCTATACAAAGCCGAAACTGCCCGTGCCAAAAGCCTCTCAGCTTATTTTGTTGGGACTTTTTAGTTGTATGAAATCATTGTATGGTCCACTGATTCTATGATCGTATAAATGTGATTTATGTGTTGGTCTCTTAACACTTTCGTTTACTGTACAACCTTGCAACACAAAAATGAAGAAAAATATTAAAAAAGGTTACCAAATTATTACTCATCAAATTCCCTATACCCTTCACATTCATAGAAAACAATCAGTATGGCGGACTATCTTATAGCCATGAAGCGGCAGGCCATCATGGAGCTGCTTCTCAGCGTTCGACTTCGACATCACCGAATATCCATAACCCGCGTCGTGGGTAAGTTTCACCCTTTCACCCAGTACTCGGGCTTACTCACAATTGCTTCTCATTGCTTGTCATTTGTTGTTCTAATCTGCACCCCGCATTTCTGCTGCATCCCCGCTCTACGCTTTAGGCTGAACAAAGTGCACAGCAAAGCCTCGAATAATTCACATGGAAATTCATCTCGTTCCAGCATACAAATGTTGCCCATTATCTCGGGGTTGGTGGAGAAGCAAGTTCCAGAATTTGGTATGTATTCAAGAACATTCTCCAAGGGATTTCTTGCTAAAAGTTTTTAACTTTTGCAGAATATGGAGCCCTTCAGGAGGGTTCTCTCAGTTCAACCAATTCGGTCAACAAATTCTGGTTGGGTGCTGAGAGTCACAAGGAGGATCTTTACTTCTGGATGGCCAAGCAGCAGGACAACAAAAAGAAAGAGCACTTTGCCGAAAAAGAGCATGCTCGTCCTGCTCCTCCGAAGATCCCTGGACATACCCAAACGCGCAGTGGCATTATGCAGGATTCGATCAAGCTGTTGGATGCTCATTTGATCTTTGAACCGTTGCTCACTTGCTTGGGCGTCATGCCCCAGCAGATGATCAACAAGTTCTCCAATGCAGACATCTCTTCGCTGGAGAATTTCGGTACAAATCTCTCGCTCATTGGCACTTTCGATTCCATACGCGTTGACATTGTCGTGAGTGAGGCAGGCGACAAGAAGAATCCAGCCCAGAAGCCGGCAAAAATGAACAAGAAATCGAATGGCAGGGCATCCATTATGATGGATACTCCGCTGTTTCTGTGCGAGCGCGTCGGCGTTGAGCTGGAGGTGCTGAAAATGTCCGATGGGGCAGTGGATCAGGCCCGACAGAATGTCATCTACATGTCGCGGCGACAGCTGAAGAAGCACACGAGTACTGTGATCAATTTCAGCCTCAATGTGAGGTTCATTTCGCAGCAGGTGAATATGCCGCTGCTGCGACTGCTACATCAGATCTGCAACATGTATCAGAATGTAAAGGATGCCCAGAATGAGTTCCACGATCACCCAGAGCTAAGCAAAAAGAGTCAGACCAAGGATGAATGTAGTTTGGGTAAGCTCTGAAAGATACAGTTCTGGATCTAATTACAAATTTTCCTTCATCTTCTACAGCTTCGGAGCCCACGGATATCCTCGGTTTTAATTCAGTCTCTGAACGTTTTGGCCATGGCGAGAGTTATTCGGATGAGCGTTATGACAAGTTCAACGAGACGATGCCAACAATGCCGGCATCTCGTACGCGTCCAGGTGGCCTGGCGCCTATCATACAGCTGACACCGTCACCAAATGCAAAGAATCGTCCACAGAGCTTCGCTCAGAAGCTGCGTTC